ATGTCACTAAAGTAAGCACATACGATTCTGAATGTACTCATGGAGAAGATCTATGAATTAAGAAAGTCATTTTTATATGAGAGAGACAAGGTGGATGGGGGTAATATCTTTTATTGGACCAATCATCTCTTGGTCAAAGAGATAAGCTTTTGAGCTCCACAGAACTCTTCTGCAGGTCTGTGGAGCTCAAAAGCTTGTCTCTCTTAGCAACAGAAGTTGGTGCAATAAAAGATTACCTCACACATCTTGTCTTTTTCATATCCTGGGACCAACGTTGCTACAACAACACTGCAAACAACTATCTTTATATAGTCACATTTCAGAGTAAAACTGCCAATATGATATCTGTTGTAATCTCCAGAGCCTTGTAACTCCCCCAAATGGCTACTTTTAACACTTCCTCCTAAAACAAAGTTGTTATGTGATGACATTAGGCTTGGTCATTGCCACTCCATAGCGGTGCAGTGTCGCAAAGTTACAATGTTGCATTCACATTACAAAAAAATTTGGGATATTTAATGTCCTACAAACTGTAATTAGCAAAGCTCAAGTCCTCTTCAAATTAATAATGTCTTCTAATAAATTGTATAGATACTTGTAAATAATTGAATAAACGCTTAAGTGAATTGGTAAAAACTATTCCAGGCAAACTTCTAAACCATTGTCTCAAATATACCTTTGTCTTCAACTTGACATATTACATAATTTTATCATTTGTAACATTATGAATGTTAAATATCTTGTGTTCCTTTAATAGTTTTATCAATTTGGAGTACTCAATTAAATGTATATGGCAATGCCTCTCGACAAGTGGGAATTATCGGTGCTTACTCAGTTCTTTCCTAATATGCTGTGATTCTCAGCAGGACATCTTTCAGTCCTTGAAGCAGTGCTCCTTAGTGAAGGGGAAAAAGTGCACATTTTTAAAGCAAGGTGACACACATTTCCTAACACTCAATCTTCTGAAGCCAGTTAGAAAAATAAATTAGTTTTTACTGGTCTCCTGAGAGCACACATGCTGGGTCAGGGCAAAAGATATTAGTGTGCTAATAGTTGCTTTGATGCTAGGGGACCACCTTGACACATAATGTTCAGCAGGAGGAATGCTGCCTACAGTTAGAATTGTAAACTGCATTTAGCATGTTTAGACACCTTTAACTAGCTCTTTGATTTCTGAATCTCATGCACCTAAACTCAGGAGAATACAGAATGAAATATAATGTCAGCAAGGTCACTGTTAAATTCTATAATAAAACAAAGCACCAGATGTTTATCAAATTGGTTAAAGTTTGTACTAGGCGGAAGTATATGTTGGGATTTTGTTTCTTGGGGCACTCAGTTATGTCGATACAGGGCCAAACCTTGAGCGGTGCTGAGCAACCACAGCTCGTGTTGAAATGCATGGGACTAGTGGATGCTTTGCACCACCGAGGATATCAGTCACAGATTTAAATGCTTTCTTCGTCCCTCAGTAATATTTAGTGTTAACTTTATTCTCTCTAGCTACACGGGGTTATAGTCCATTTATTTAATAGTTTTGGATACACGTAAATCTGAGGAGATGATGGAACACTTAAAAAAATCACAAGAACTTTCTAGTTGGTGATAATCAGAGAATCCCCCATAGTTCTAAAGCAGCTTTCCTATACTGTAATGCTGGGTGGTTCTATCACTAGCACCTCTCTGAAGTACTTTGACTATCTTCTGGGCATAGACTGTGTTGAAATAACAGTGATTTCATGAAAACAGACAAAAGTTTTGTGTGCAAGCTGAACCATGCAGCTGTTATGTTGACTTAATAAGGTTGGCATGTTTTCCAGAGCTAGAAATGCAGAGAAATTGACATCAGAAAGTAATGCACTGAAGTTTCACTTTGATATTTCACTCCCAAACCATGGCATGAAGGAAACCTGACACACTTTCCAGGAATTCCAAACAAATTACGTGTTATGAAAATGCTTACAAAGATAGACATTTTCAGCTCATCTTGAGGATGACCTGCAAAGGAAGAGCAAACTGTGCTCTTTAAATGTTATGACTTGTAAGGGAGGCCTAATATTCATTTTTAAAGAATTTTTTCTTTTATTTGAGAAATTTTATATTTTGTCTACTCATTCTTTCCTGGAACATCCAATGATTGACTGGAGAACTACTAGGTTTATGACCTCCGAGAAATCATGCAAGAAAAACATGATTGACTGAGATGGGGCATTGTTATCAGGCTGATAGTTATCATCTCATTGTTACCTTGTTCTTCCTGTTTTTTTTGTATTCACCTGCTGTTTTGTGCCTTCTACTTAGGCCTTGTTTACACTGCCACTTTACAGCGCTGAAACTTTCTCTCTCAAGGGTGTGAAAAAACACCCCTCTGGGTGCTGCAAAGTGGCAGTGTAGACAGTGCACCAGCACTGGGAGCCACTACCCTCATGGGGGTGGGCTTTTTACAGTGCTGGGAGAGCTCTCTTTTACAGAGCTGGGAGTGC